AAACAATTATTATTTTTGTATCACCCATTCTGAAACAGCAAACTAAAGAAACCTCAAGTCCTTGAACTCTGTATGTCATACAGAAGGTCACTGAACTTCTCCCTAGGAGTTGCAACCAAGAATTCCTTATTTAAATGTGAATCTACTGAACTTCTATTTGCTATTTCAAAGTCTCATTATTAAAAATGGGAAGAACACAACTGGAATGAAGCAAGATGTTTCACACCATGGCAAGATCAGGGACCAGCACTCTTCTTTATTGTGTTTATTTTTTAAAACTGTGCATTCCACTTTTCAAGCCACATGCAATAGATGGGATATCTCAAAATGTAAAGGAAATGTCACTTTAACCATTCAAAGCTTCGAAGGATCCACCCTCCCAAGGTTTTAATTAGGTTTTAAGGGACCAGGTATGCCTCCTGGAAGGTACTTCATATGGATATGGTAGCTTAGCAACGAGCATTTGCCTTCCTTGCGAAAGGTACCAGCTTCGATTCTCAGCATCTCAGGCCAGGACTGGGAAAGACCTTTCTGAATTCCTGAATAACAGGTCCAGCCAGCTGTAGGCATGACTTGCTAAAGATGGATGACTGGTCTGATTCAGGAGAAGGGCTGAGACAGGAATGGCCCTGCTTCTCACAGAAGCTAAGCTCCCAGCTTTTGGGCCACTTCCCCTCACCCCTTCTAAGTGGTTGAAAAGTACCCAAGGCTTTATCACTGGAAGTACGAACTTTAAGCAAAACAGTCCTGCTAGTTTTTGTATTCCTGGCCCCAACCGAAATGGATTTGATGCTCAGCACTGAAATGCAGCCTCCCACTTCAGCTTCTCCAAAATGGCATTCAGCCCTTGGTCTAAGCAAGTTCTCCTGCTTGGGGAGCTTAATTCCAACAGCAATGCATTGCAGCATTTGGTTTGCGAGTCCAAAAAAATATTTGCATGTGCAAGGCCATTATCAGACACATGTATGTGAGGACATCCAGTAACAATGAGTTTAAATAAGTAATAAAAGAAAATTTTAAAATCCATTTGAAAATGATGTTTAATGATCATTCTTAACATTTATAGAAAATTTGAAGGGGCCACTGTCTAGCTGTAATCTTTACAAAAGCTGTGCAACGTAAGTCAGAATTCTCTGCAGTATTTTCACATGGGGAGACTAAGGCTTGCCTAAGGCCACCAAGTGAGTTCTTGGCAGGCAGCAGTCGGATCTCTTAGCGATACGCTTTACCAGCACACCTGCTCGCCAGCCCGGCATTGTTTCCTTCTGTGTTGCTCATAAGATAGTCAAAAATCCATTCACAAGAAAATGAAAAACTCCCAACTACACAGAAATCCAATATCTTCTCCCACCTTTGAAAATCAAAACAAAGAAACACACACACTCACTGTTGCTAATAAGGTATCACGCCATGCATCTGCCCTAAGAGCTGGGCAACATTGCCAGCTAGTGGTTGGTTGATTGCAAAACACATCCAAACCAAGTTCCTTACAGCAACTCGATACACTTAACGCAATGGCTCTTGCTTCAATTAGAAATAACTCCCTTCAGCATTCTTGTACAAAACTGCCATCTAATGCATCTAATAGTTTCAGATACGCAGCCTTGCATTTAAATACATGAGTTACATTCGAGGCTTGTTGTTCGTTTCAGACACGTTGGTGTCTTTCAAAACCATAAAAAGCCACCTTATTGGCAGAAGGCAGGAAAAACATGTTATCTTTTGATCATTATTTCATCAGCATTAGCCCCATTTTTCAGCTGTTAATGTTAGATGTTGTGAAATTCAATTGTATTGTCACTGCTTTTCAAAAATATGGCATGCCTGCATTTAAATAACCTTGGTAAATGCATTATGAATACTTAGGAAGGGGTCATAGCTTAGTGGAAAGCAATGGGCTGTACATGTAAAAGGGCTCAAGTTAGACAGGGCTAGAATACTAGGGGATAGTGGGGGGTGGGATGTTCTCATGAATGCAGGTAAACAACCTTTGACCCTCCAATTCTAGCTAAGCAATTTAGTACAAACATTTCTAGCAGCTTGTCTACCTGCCTGCCTAGTTCTAGCATGCGGAGAGATGGAATCAATAGAGTAAAACCCATGTTGGAAGTGCTCTAGATTCTGGCATGCTAGAACTGGTAGAAAAGGGGTGACCAACGTGGATTTTCTCCACAATTACCTTTCCACTTATCCCTTCCTAGGATTAAAGAACAGCAGCAACAGAAAAAAGCTCTGGGTGTTGTACTCCCACTGTGCCCGAGTTTGGAAGGGGACATTAATTGAAAGATCAGTCTATGCATAGATACATAAATTATTTTTTCTTTCATGTACTCTGGAATTCTTCTAGCATATATAAGATCACATTTAAGGGACCTTACGCACAACCAAGAACACACTCTTGTCTTTATTTTATGTATTGAATTTACTACATACTTATCAAGAGAATGTTCTCTGGACATTTCAGTAAACAATCCAGTTATATGCACAAGCTGGTCTCTTCAACAAAAAGTTAGGTATGTATGTTTGTGGCAAGTCTTCCGTGCTCTCCTTTCTTTAGAATTCTGTTTTTCATTTCTACAAACGTCAGGGTTATTCTGTTACCAGTGCCTCCCTTAGTTTGGCTACATAAGCAACAATACTCAGATGATTGAACTGAAATTAAACTAAAGGATGACTACCCATTTATCATCATTTAAGGAAATACGTTCCTGGCGTAAGCCAAGACATTGCAATATAAAATTAATCTTCATTAAGCAAAGGTGCATGTGTGTGAATATAAAAAGTAAAGCGGGGGTGGGGGGAATTCAAAGACATAAGCCAAACTGCCAAAATGGAATGGACCAGTCTGCATCTTGTACACCATATTATTTCAATGCTTTGAGAAACTTTTGCTACCAAAACTTTAAAAATTTGCTTTCCTTTTTTTTGGGGTGGGGAGGTCATTCTCTCTCTCTCTCTCTCTCTCTCTCTCTCTCTCTCTCTCTCTCTCT